ATCTCTAAGTGGGTCCCAATAATAGAGTAGAGGTTTCTATGATATAGTTGTACACCATTAACCCTAAAGACCCAGACATCACCTTGACTTCAGAAGAGGACCAGCTGTATCGTGACCTGTCCCTAAGTTCCAACGAGGACCGCCCCAAGGGCCAGTGTTCGTGCAGTCTGAAATCTAGTGCGAGGTATGTGCATTGTAGTAGGAGGTTCGATCGCTTGATTAGTCATGGATATCTTGTGTGTTCTTGTGATTTATAATCCATGAAGTATGTGGCCACAACTCAAAGTGTCGTGATTAGAGAAATGTGTTTCTCTAAGTCAAACACGAACGGATTATGTAATCAAGAACGTCCACACAGTTATTGAACTCATAAAGAGGTCTCGACGAACCAATGCCTCTAGTTCAATCGGGATATATGTATCGAAGGGATCGTAATGTACGTTAACTATATCACACGGTTCTTGTAGGCACTTCATTTGTATCCTGGGAATCATGAAGCGTAGTTGCTAGACGCCAATCTTGATTCGTTGGGTAGTTAAGTTGAAACTAGTTTCAACTTAATTATAACTCTAGGGACGAGTTTAAACCACAATGAGTTGTGGGCCCAAGGCTACCTTACACCCGAACCATCGAGGGTCACACTGCTCGTGTACTTGAGATCCTTAATGCAACGTGCCAATATTAATTAGTTAATCTTAGTGCAATTGGATGTCAATGTGATTGTGTCCAACATTTGTAATTGTTAATTACGGATGGGAATAAGTAGAGGAAAAGAATCCGACGGAATTTAGTGAACTTTCTATATTTGGAAGTTTCCCGATTTGGCAAGTCCTAAATTAGGGTTTCCAATTTCGGAAATTGGTAAATTGCAAAGTGGTACTCGTATAGACGAGAATTTGTGCGCGTCATCAAAATATAATTGTTATATTTTTACGAGCATTCGTTTGTTAGAAACGAGTCGATAAAAAGAGTGGACTTAAGCTGTTGGGCCTAGCCCAACTTAAGGCCTGTTAGGGTTTTCACAAGTTGCATATAAATAAGATTTATATGTCTTGTGAAAGACACACGAACACAAAAACGACATAACACAATCTTGAAACCCTAGCCTCTCTCCCTCCATCGGCCGTCCACCTTGCAGCCGAAATCCTACCTCCGCCACTAGCGCCACCATGGTCACCCCCACGCGCCGCTACAAGCTGGTGATGTGAGAGGGCAATTCTAAAAAACTGCTCTCGGATTTTATGCGCAGTCGAGCGAGAAAATTCTCCATAAAGCAACCGGTGATCGGATAGACATTAAATTTTGATAGAAGCTTCAAAACGCATGGGTTTACAATATGCCAAAAGGAATTGTTCATATAATGAATAACCATGGAGATATTGAAGTCGGAGTAGGACTGTATTTTCAGATCAGAAAAGAGGTTGGATCAGTTGGAGTGGAAAGAGCATCTAGCCATCTTCACGTGTCTTCGTTGGATTCACACTTCAAGGATAAAGTATCTTTTTCCTTAATAATATATATATATATATATATATATATATATATATATATATATATATATTAATTAATTAATTTATATTAATTGAGATTAATGTATGTTAATTTATTATTGAATCACATGAATCTATATGTTCGATTACGTGTTTATGTTAATCATTCGTTGAGCATGTTAATTATTTGATTAAATTTCGTGAGCATGCTATGATGATTTAATTTATGTCATTTAAATTAATTATATATGCGAGCATGTTTGTCGGGGATTGGAAGCGAAAAGGTACGCAATTAATTGTAATTATTGTGCACGTGTTTGTTTATATAAACTAGTTTATATAAATAAAATAAAAGAATTTGTTTACTGCTGCGTACACGTGCCTGATCCCCAACACAGAGTGGGAACCAAATTCGATAAATCTCATTTTCACAATATATTCAGTTTATCTTAAATCCTACGATGAAGACCTTAGGATTTATACGTAATAAATTTCCCTAGACACTTACTATTTTAAAAATTAATTTTCATGAGGGAAACTTGAAAAAAATATGACATGCGATCATGAGCATATATCAAATTAATTTTCCATGTTGTCAAATTATATGATCATATGACGTGCACACATAATAAACACATATAATAAAGACAATTAAAACATGCTCATAATCAAACTTCAATAAGCATAAAATAAATAAACAAATAAACCGCTATTATGGTTAAGTTGGGACTCCTGGATTTAGACTCCTTACAAACAGGAAGTCCAAAAGTTCCCGTATAACTCGAACTGTAGCTCGATCGGACTACCTAAAATCGTTCCAGGACCGCTACCCATGAACCACCGCCTGTCGAGTCACCACGCCTGGACCGGATTCGATGTTGGACCGGTTTTGCTTGGCGGGCTACTGCCCGATTCTTCCTGGCCATCGGACCGGTCGGTTTGGACACGGACCGGTTCGCCCCGCCTTGTTCATCTCGTCTCCTTGTTTCTCCCAGGAGTTTGTAAATGAAAACAAACAACATGATAATCTATTTATATCTATTTAATTTCCAATCGAAATTTAATACATAATAATTACAAAGAAAAAAAATTATCGTAGGCACACGATCTTCCATCAATATCACGCGATGGGATTTAAAAAAAGACAAGCAACCGCTCACGAAGTAGTGGGATCCAATCACATAAAAAAATTAAATAATCATAACCATAATAGTTGATTTTCTATCATGCCAAACAAAGTCAGAAACCAAACGATATATGCAACATATGAAGTTTTATGAAGTTTTCGTTTCATGCAATTTTGGGCAACATGGCGAACCTCAAACGAATTATAAAAGAAGCTCTGATACCAATTGTTGGGATGTGAAGCCCAGGAGCCAATAAAAATTCGTATGAGGTTCTAGATTAGCTGGTTTTTATTTTTAATTAGCATGCATATATTTGATTTAGTTTAAGCGGAATAAATCTAATCTATGGACTTACGTTTGGGAGAGAAGAGCCAAACTATCTTCGGCGCACAGATGATAACTGTTCGTTTTGCACGATTTTACTTATCAAATCTTCGAGTTTTGGTCTTCTTCCGTTTGAGTTTTCGGATTTTTTGTACATATTATGCGTTTCCTTTTTTTTTCTATTTAAGGTAAATAGAAGCGCTTTCTGCCGAGTCGAAGCTATTTGAAAGTGAAACTGATTTTCAAGCGAAAAAAAAGTGGCCAAGAAGACCCCGATCACGATACAACATTCCCGTATCGTGATCTAGGGGGTGTCATAGTGCGTTTTCTACTCCAGACCCAGATCGCGAACCAGTATTCCCGTATCGCGATCTAGGCGGTGTCAAAGTATAGTTGTACTTCAGAGCCAGATCGCGATACAACATCTATGTATCACGATCTTGTTACAGTAGGTGACCAACAAGCCAACTTGTGGCTATGGTCTTTCCATTTGTTCTTGTTATAAATAATCCTTTTTTGTATTAATGATAAAACACCTTGTCATTCTATATAATTGTCCCTTGTTCAAACATAGATATAGTCCTTACAGTTATTACAAGTACATGCAATTGATCTTTTAGGATCCTGAGATATTTACTTAAGTATTATAACTGTTAAACGTATTCCTAGGTGAAGGGTTACGCCACCAATGAGAATATCGGCATTTCCCATTAAGAGACTTGCACTTAGTGTATGTGTATTGCGTCTCATCAGTAAACGGTATTGTGATATCGGCATGCATAAGTGGGTGCTCGTAAGTTGACGAATTCACTGAACTCCCTCACCCTAGAAATCTCTAAGTGGTTCTCAATAATCGAGTAGAGATATCTATGGTATAGTTGTACACCATTAGTCCTTATGACCCAGACATCATCATGACTTCACTAGAGGACCAGCTGTATCGTCACCTGTCCTTGAGTTCCACCGAGGACCGCCCTAGAAAAGAAAAAAATAAATAGTGAAAATTGCAGATGGTGAGATTTGATCCCTATAACTAGATCTAGTGCCGATGAGCCGATTGCGTGGGGTACTTTGTTCCCATCGTTCTGATTTCAGAAGCAAGATTAAGGCTATTAGTGTTCGGTGGTCAACAATTGTTGTCTCCTCTTTCTTTTCTCTCTACTGCTGCCGCCTTCTCTTTTCTCTCCACCCGTTGCCCTCACAGGTCGAATTTGTCTCCCATATTGGTTTTCGTCGCATATCCACTATTGCGCATAGTGGTTTTCGTCATTCCCATTTATTTAAACCAATATTGCTCAGAGTGGTTTCTGTCATTTCCATTTATTTATTTATTTATTTGTTTATTAAGAGAACGACACCCGATGAGGGTGGGGGGTTAGGCTTGACCCCTTACCTGTTTATAAAAAAAATTTAAGAAGTACATAATGAGTTTCGCTCAAATTGCTATTGCCCAACATATGGCTAATAATAGAAATTGACAAACAATAGACAATAGCTAACTAACAAAACGTTAAGAATACGGACAAAACATGTGGCCCAAATAATAAAAATGACAGGGGTGGGAATGATCATAGAAGGTCGGGGAAGACCAAGGTAGACCGTTCGCCTCACCACAACAGCCGAGGCCACTTACACTTTCGCCAAAAATGGGCGAAACAGGTATAACTGCTGCGAAATGTGTGGCACCATTCGGCAAACAGTCTAGTCTTGATAGACCCAAACAATCCATAAAGTTCACGAAAATGCCTAAATCGCCAATAATAAAAAAACGTGGAATGCATGGCACCTATGCGCGAGACTGTCGTCGAAAGGATGGATATCCAAGCTGGTCCATCCGAATCATCTACTGAATAGGTCGGGGAAGCTCCGCTGTTGTGAAGGTACGAGCCAACTCGGTCTAACACCCCAGGTTAGCTAATGCATTAACGACTGTATTGCCCTCCCGGTAGATATGTGTAATCCTGTACTCCAAAGTGGAAAGAGAGTTCCGGATTGCTGTGAGAGAACTCTGAAGACTCCAATAACCTTTGTCCGTGTGCGAAAGAAGTCGAACAACGACTTATGCATCAAGCTCGATCCAAACTCTAGTGAATTGCCTCTGGATAACAAATCTCAGCCCCGAGGCAAGGGCAGCAAGCTCGGCTGCAATACTGCTTGGGGCAGAGCTCCTGTCGTGAAATGCAAGTATGGCCTCAGCGTCCGAACCTCTGATAATCCCGCCAATAGCTGCAATCTGGGTGGATGCTCTACGGGCTCCGTCTGTGTTTAGCTTCACCCAACCCGGATCCGGTGGAAGCCAAAGAACTCGATGAGGTGTGAGAGTTGGTGTTTTGACTCGGTAATATAGGCCAAGAGACTCAGCCACGTGGGGAATGCCAGTCCAGCCGTCCGCCGAAAGTAAGTTGGTTTGATGAAGAATCCTGATGTGCTGGATGACCCTGTAAATGATGGAAGAAGCACGAACCGTGATATCCTTGTGCTTGCTGTCATTTCTTGCAATCCATAAGAACCACAAGATCAAGCAAAGCACAGTGGTCGTGATGTGTGTGTGGTGTGTGAGTGTGTGCGAAGTGAAGTGCTGCCAATAAAGTAAAATCTGGGGTATGTGCGTAGTGTGTGCAGGTGTATACCCAAAAACATAGAAAAAATGATGCCATACCCTCTTAGCTGTCGGGCTCTCCACGAAGATATGATCAATCGACTCAACAGAAGGAGACTCAACAGACTGAGATACAAGACTCGACACAGGAATAGATGGATCTGGACAACAATAGCACCTCGAGGCGAGAGAGGTGCCTCGAGACTGAAGTTTGAGATCCACTGGAAGACGCTGAAGAAGGAGACGCCAAAGAAAGATAGAAATTGTAGGAGTAACACAAGATCCCCAAAATATACGAAGAAGAGGGGTAGGGGTATGCTGTTTTCGTATCAAGGCCCAAGTTGAGGTCAAGGAAAACTTGCCATCCGAAGAAGCTCTCCAAATTGGCAAATGACCCGAAACACCAGAGATCGGGACCGAGCAAATCCTATCAATCCACTCAAAAGGAATATCCTCAGCTAGCTTGTTTCGATCCCACTGTCCGTTAACCAAATAATACTCCACACGAACTGAATTTAGCCGACCACCATCAATAATGCCCGAAAGGGGACCATCGCCAAACCAGTGATCGTGCCAAAAATAAACATGACCTGGACCAATCCGCCAAAATATTTGATCTTGAACACGCTCTCGGACACGGCACATGTGCTTCCACACCGTGCTATAGAGTGAAGACACAACGGATGAACCTGGGAACCGATTCGGGCAATACTTGTTTCGGAGAAAACGGGCCCAAACAGAATTCTGAGCACGGAATCGGAACCAGAGCTTGTAAGTGAAGGTGTCAATAACATCCGTCAAACGCCTCAACCCCAAGCCACCCTCACCAACTGGCCGACAAATCGTCTCCCAAGCAACCCAATGAGGCCGGCGCTGATTACCATAAGATCCCCAGAGAAATCAGGCCATGCACTGCTCAATGTGCTGAATAATGTAGTGCGGAGGTTGAATAACCTGAACAAGATGCAAAGCCATAGTCGAAAGCGTACTCTGAATCAAGGCAAGACGGCCCCCGAAAGCCAAAGGGGTCCGAGCCCAACCCGAAATCCTGGCTTGCATCCGATCAAGCAAAGTCTGAAACAAACTGCCCCGCTCCCTCCCTTTGTATAGCGGAACTCTAAGATAAATGATAGGAAGATCCTTTCTCGGATAACTGAGAATCCGAGAAATAGTGCGAAGATGACCATCAGAACATGCCCTATCAACTGTGAAAGTGCTCTTGTGCACACTAATCAACTGACCCGAAGTCCGACAGTAATGATCGAGAAAATCCCGCAGCTTCTTCAGGCCAAAATTATGGCACGAGGTAAATATCATCACATCATCCGCATAGGCCAAATAGGATATAGGGATTCCTCCCCTTGTAGAATAAAACATGCTTGGGCAACGGTTGTATAGTTCATCTAGACCTCTCGAAAAATAATCAGCTGCAAGTACAAAAAGAGTCGGCGAGAGCGGATCTCCCTGCTTTAGACCACGAGACGAAGTGAAATATGCCGTCAGCTCCACGTTGATTAGTAAAGAGAAATGCCACGAGGAAACACATTGCCGAATAATATCAACCAAGTTCGCCGAGAAACCCATCAGCTCGAGTACACGAAATAAGAACCGCCACTGAACCCTATTATAAGCCTTTGCCATATCCAGCTTCAACATAAGATTCGGATTTCGACAACAAACTGATATCGAGTGGAACATCTCTTGTGCTAATAAAATATTATCACTAATGAGACGACCTGAAAAAACCCACTCTGAGAAGGAGAAATAATGTGGGGAAAATGAGGTGCTAGTCTGTTCGTAAGTAACTTAGTGATAATTTTATTGATCACGTTGCACAAGCTAATTGGGCGGAAATCTGTCCATGCCGTCGGAAAGTCCACCTTTGGAATAAGAACCAAGGTGGTAACGGTGAAGCTCGCAGGCATAGATCCACCCTCGAAGAAATCCCAAACCGCTTCACAAACATCACACTGAATCAAGTCCCAACAATGTTGATAAAATAGCGTAGAATACCCATCAGGACCCGAAGCACTATCTCGACAAATCCCAAACCATGCATCTTTGATCTCCTCAACCGATGGACGACTAGAGACTGAAGTAAAGTCCCTTTGAGGAGCGGAAAATAGGGACTCATCAACTGGAAGCACACTAGGCATATCATCGGTAAGAAGCTTGCTAAAGAAATCAACGCCCGAATCCTTGATCTCCTGAGCAGATGTGAGAACCGAATCACCATGAGAGATAGAGTGGATTCGATTGACACATCGTTTTTTCTTGACTAATGAGTGGATAAACTTAGAGTTTCTCTCTCCATCAGTCGCCCATCTACAAGTTGCCTTCTGCTTCCAAAAGTCCTCCTCAATATTGAGCATGAGAGTAACTTCAGTAGTGGCCTTTTTCAAATTTGCACGGTTCTCGGGGGATCGATCCAAGTCATATATGTGCTCAGCCTCTAGAACAGCTGCCTCGGCCCTCTCTTTATTCTTGAACACGTCCCCGAAAACATTCCAATTCCACCACTGAAGCTTCTGTTTCAATCGTCTCAACTCCGCATGTAATCGATGCATCCCCGTCTGAGCACACGGAAAATCCCAAGCCTGTTCCACAATCTGACGAAATGTAGCGTGGCGGATCCACATATGCTGAAACCGGAATGAAGCAGGAGGCCTAGAAGAAGAAGCAGCCGATGAAACCAAATGAGGAGCATGATCCGACCAGGTCCGTGAGAGGTGGGTAACCTGCGTAAAAGGCAGTAAATCGAGCCAAGCACAGTTATATAGAATCCTGTCCAAACGCTCCAAAAGACCTGAAGGGCTCTCCCAAGTATAGCAAGAACTAGCCCCAGAGAACCCGGCATCCGAAAGTCCACAATCCAAAACCATAGCACCAAACTCAGCCATATCTAGTCTCCTATCCCAAACTGATCTATTCTGTTCTGACTCAAGTAAGATTGAGTTGAAGTCACCCCCAGAAATTCAAGGAGTGTCACCAATCGTCTCAAAAATGTCACGGAACGAATTCCACAAAACACGGCGCTCGGAACGAGAGCAACTAGCATAGACCGCAGTCAATACAAAAGGAGCACCCAATCAACCAGATATGCATCTGACATGCAATAATTGTACCTCATCCCTAAGCAACTCCACTCGAAAATTGTGATCCCGAAAAATCCAGATCTTCCCCGCACAATTAGACAAACGAGCAACCAAACCCAAACGACGGCAATAGTAATCATGCACAACTCAGTCATAGATTCATAAATAATCAATAAATTAACTCTATGTTGGCGACAAATAAAGCGCAAGTGGGATTGAGTCGCCTTATTTTTTACCTCCCTTGCGTTCCACACCAAGAATTTACCCGACATCAAGAAGAGGGGGAATGGGACCCATCTGAAGATTTTCGAGATGTGACAAAGAACGAGTTACCAATAAGGTGGGCCTCATCCGCATGCCAACGTTCGTCATTATGCAAACGCCAACGCTCAGCATCAATCAGGCTCGATCGCCACGAGGCTGAAGGTTCATCAGTGATAGAGCCCGGAGTAACGTGATCAGTTGGGCATATGCTCGTGGCTGGGCTCACGGGCTCATAAGGGATCATGGCAAGGTGATTGAAATGAGGCGTGTCGACCAAATGTTCCTCGACCGTGGGCCGGACCTTGGTCACATAGTGTTCGCAAAAAAAGGCAGCCGACGTAGGTGTAATCGGATCCGTACCCGCCGAAAGTCCTGACCCCTCTCGTCTGTGTACCCCATGATTAAGGGGAACATCCTTGACCACCGAAGTGGCCGAAAGTGATAGATAGGGGGTTTAGAGGGCTGCCCCCTTTGCGGTTCGGGAGCTAGAAGCTTGATAATATTAAATCCACTGTTTTTTCACATACATTAGTGCACATACATGTCATTTCCATTTATTAAATCCACTATTTGTGCATAGTGGATTGTGACATTTTCATTTACTAAATCCACTATTGACATTAATATTTAAAGTGGATTAATTTAATTTCATAATGGTTTTCGCTAATTTTCAAATAATTCTTGATTTTAGTCAATATTCCAAATTCTTGCTTCCAAACATTAGTTGATTTCAAAATTTAGATTTTTCAGTAAATAGTGGATTTTAATTTTAGTGAATTTCATTTTTTGGTAAATTTGTTGTTAAAAAAACAATTATTAATTTTTGCAACAAAATTAATTAAAACCAGACGTTATTTTAAGGGGAAATTATGATAGGATCTTAAATTTATGTGATTTGCATATCCAAATAAAATTAATTAAGTTTCCATAACAGTATAATATGGCAAATTTGGTATTTCATGAAAGGTTTTATCTCAAATATGGGATTTGAATTTGAATTTACCATTCTACCAAAATTGAATGAGGGGAGTTTTGTAAAATAGCCGCAAAACAATAATTATTTTCATACATAAATTCAATCATGGTCAATGTATATTGATATCTATTAATGATTTACCTTCAAAATGTATTAAGGTTGAGTATTATTCATAAGATTTAAAAATTGATCTGATGAGATTTTAAAATAGACATTGTTGACAAAATCGAATATTAAATTTCAATTGATTATGCGATTTCTAATTAATATAAACAAAAGTAATATATTTATAAAATATAGTAATTCATTAATAAAGTACAATAATGTGAATGTATAAGACGGTATAATGTAAATTTAAGAATATATAAATGTTATAAACTAAGCAAACATAATTTACTGAACAGGCAAAAAGAAAAAAATGAACGGGCATTTGGATATTCCAAATACTGAAAAAAAAAACATGATTGTATTCATTTAAAATTATTTGAATATTAAGCGGAAAATTATATTGAATATTCATAAAAAAATAATTGAGTATTCTGACTTTTTTTAAAAGATAGTAAATAAATATATTTCGAAAAATTAAAGTTATAAGTATGATAATATTTTCCGAATTTATAGAATATTAAATGCACGAAATATTATGCATATGTATTACTGTTGAGATGAGTGTACAAATGTTAAATATGAACTAATTTAAATACATACCAAAATAGAAATGACAACTAATACACATAAGCAATTAAATGCTCACTAAGCAATTTGATAAAACTAGTGCTTCACCCGTGCGATGCACGGGGACAATTTAGAAAATAAAAATACTTTTTAGATAAATTGATAAAAAGAAAAATCTCAATTGTAGATGATATAAAAAAAACGATACATCATCTCAGCCACAAAAGTACAACTATCTCGTTCAATGTAGTCGAATACTTGACGTGAAACACATATATGGAAATGATATCTAATGCATTCACATCACCTATGTTTCATTTAATACATTGAGAATAACCGGCATATAGTTTCATTTTTTTTAGTGATGTACATAAATGAAAAAAAATGGGGTTTTGTGCATAAGTTCCTAACCAAGTATCTTTATTATTCTAGGTTTATGGGCTATATCTCTTTCACCAATAAGCCCATCCCTTTAATATTTAATATAAGTAAAGGAAAAACTTATGTATGTGAAAAAATTCACGGATAATATTACTGTCTATTATTGTAATATTACTGTAAACAGAATAATATTACTGTGGTTGACGGTAATATTACTGTTGTTATAGTAATATTACTGTCAACCACATAAATATTATTATTTTGTTTGAGTTTTATTGTTTTGTTTGAGTTATTCACGGAGGAACGTAATAATATTACTGTCTATTATAGTAATATTACTCTGGTTGGCGGTAATATTAGTGTTGTTATACTAATATTACTGCCACTCACAGTAATATTAATTCTTTTGGCTTTTTATTATGTTTACATTTGTTGAACGGTCAACATATTAATATTACTCTATTACACAATAATAATGGGTTTTGTTGTGTTAATATTACTGTGCTAGAGATTGTTATAGCAATATTCCTGTGTTAAACTGTAGTATAGTTAATTTTACTGCGTTAATATAGTTAATATTGCTGTCAATCACAGCAATATTGCTGTTTAAACGAAAAAAAAATGTTACAGAAAAAAGAATGGAAAAAAATCGAAAAAGTCAACGTCGGAAAAAAAAACTTAAATGTGCGTAAAAAATAAAACATTTTCTTTGTTGAATGGGCTCTTTATAAATAAGCCCTTCAATGGGTACTTATTCATAAAAAGATCCAGACGATAAACTATTTTACAAAAAAGTCCACACATGGTCTAGATTTTTGTAAAAGACTAAAATAGCCCCTCATATTTTAACATGCTCCAATTTTATCCTTTAATCTAATCTAACCTCAATTTGACCCCGAATTATCACAAATTATTCAATTTTGACGCAAAACACATTTTTATGGACAATTTCGTCCGTCACCGCCGGTCAACCGCCGGTCTCCGGCGTTGACTTTTATTTTTTCTTCCTGATTTTTACACCGGTTTCCTGCGTTGAATTTTTTTTTTCTTTTCTTCCTGATTTTCCACCACCGGTTTCCGGCGTTAGCCTGCCGGTCAACGCCTGTCTCCGGCGTTGACTTTTTTGATTTTTTTTTTCTTCCTTTCTTTCTGTAACATCTTTTTTTTCCCGTTTAAACAGCAATGTTGCTGTGATTGACAATACTATTAATTGTATTACTGTTGAACACATAAAATTAACTATACTACAGTCTAACACAGTAATATTGTTATATTAATCCCTAGCACAGTAATATTAACACAACAAAACTCATTATTATTGTGAAATAGAGTAATATTAATATGTTGACCGTTCAACAAATGTAAACATAATAAAAAGCCAAAAGAATTAATATTACTATGAGTGACAGTTATATTACTATAACAACAGTAATATCACCGTCAACCACATTAATACAATAATAAACAGTAATATTATTACGTTACTCCGTGAATAACTCAAACCGACAAAAAAACCCGAACAAAATAATAATATTGATGTGTTTGAAAGCAATATTACTATAACAACAGTAATATTACCGTAACCATAGTAATATTATTGTGTTTACAATAATATTACAATAATAGACAGTAATTTTATTACGTTACTCCGTGAATAATTCAAACAAAACAAAAAAACCCAAAAAAATAATAATATTGATGTGGTTGACAATAATATTATTTTGTTTACTGTACTCTCGACAACAGTAATATAATTACGTTGACTTGTCAACGAATCAAACAAAACTAAAAAAAATAATAACAAAAACAAAATAATGTATTACGTTAATTTACTGTCAGTGATAGCACAACTACGGTCAACGTTTAGCGGCGGATAGACATGACCACGGGCCGGGTTTGCACCGGACCCGACCCGGCGACCGCCCCGTTGACCGTTGACCCGGACCCGTACCCGCCCATATAACAAAAAAACCCAAAAAAAATAATAATATTGATGTGGTTGACAATAATATTATTGTGTTTAAAATTACTGTATTCTCAACGACAGTAATATAATTACGTTGACTTGTCAACAAATCAAACAAAATTTAAAAAAATAACAAAAACAAAATAATATATTACTTTAATTTACTATCAGTGATAGCACAATTACAGTCAACGTTTAGCGGCGGATAGACACGGCCATGGGCCGGGTTTGCCCCGGACCCGACTCGACGACCGCCCCGACCTGCCCCGTTGATCGTTGACCCGGACCCGGACCCGCCCATATACGGGTCGGTTTCGGGAACCCAATTTCAGGACCCGAGACCCGACGGGTCAACCCGTAGGACCCGGCCCGAGGACCCAACCCGGGACCCGAGTAATAATTGCAGGTTTTTTGCCCAAAAATGGTTCTAAAGTAGGGATGGCAATGGGTACGGGTTTGGCGGATCTTGGACCCGGAACCGACCCGTTTGGGGTGGGTCTGGGTCAGCTAAATGGTTCTAGGTCGGGTAATGAGTTTAAGTTT